AACTTGAGGGGGGAGCGGCGGGGAGGGCCTGTCCTTAAATCTTTTCTGGAAGAGTGTGGATGGGCGGGTGACAAGCGGCCACACTGCTCTGGGCCTCCACCGAGCCTGCCTCCTGTCCCGGCCCCTCTGCTGGGTGCCCTCCCCTGAGAGCAGCCTGGCACACAGACTTCTGTGATATAAAGCGGTTCTTACCATAACCCGGGTTAGTGTCCTGCCTGAATGTCACTCGACAGTGTGTCTTTTCATGTCAGTAAATACAGTGCGTTCATTTCCTACGGCTGCTGTAACAAATTACCACCAACCTCACAGCCTTGAGCAATGTGAGTTTATTCTGCAGTTCTGGGAGTCAGATCTTAACAGGACTAAGGGTGTCGGCAGGGCGGGGTCCTCCTGGAGGCTCTAGGTGAGTGTAGGGGGCTGAACAGTGGCCCCCAAAAGATATGTCCACATCCTCATCCCGGGGTCCTGAGAATAGCACCTTATATGGCAAAAGAGTGCACATTACCTTATATGGAAAAGCGTGGGATTAAGCTAAGGATGCCGAGAGGAGGAGCTTCTCTTGGATTTCCCAGGTGGGCCCTAAATGCAGCCACGTGTATCCTTATCAGAGAGACACATGGACAGACAGACAAGAAGACAGAGAATGGAGAAGGCAGTGTGACCGTGGGCCAGAGACTGGAATGATGCTGCCACAAACCAGAGAAAGTCGACAGCCGCCCGAAGCTGGAGGCAGCAGAGCGCGGACTCCCCCCGAGCCTGCAGAGGGGCCTGCATTTCGACGCTATGATCTCCAGATTCTGGCCTCCAGAACTGTAAGAGAATAAATTTCTGTGGTTTTAAGCTACCAAATTTGAGGTCATGTGTTACAGCAATCACAGGAAACTAATATGGTGAGAATCTGTGCCTAGCCTTTTCCAGCTTCTAGAAACCGCCTACATTCCTTGACTTATGGCCCCTCCTCCATCCTCAAAGCCAGTGGTGTAGCATCTTCTCTCCTCCATGACCTTCTGCCTCCCTCCTAGAAGGATCCTTGTACTACACTGAGTCCACCTGGAGAACCAGGATAACCTCCCCATCTCAAGATCCCAACTTAGTCTCATCTGCAAAGTCCTTTTTACCCTGTAGAGTAACATATCCACAGGATCTGGGGTCTAGGACGAGCACATCTCGGGGGGTGAACCACACTCAGGTACCCGGCTCCAAGGTGTTTTGCAAGCAGTCATCTCTGGAGGTCCCCATTAGAACTTGAGGTCCCTCAAATCTGCAGAAGGACTCAGCGGACTGTGCTCACCTTCTTCTCTTCCCGCCAGGAGACTTGGTCCTCTCCCTCCGATCCCTGCTCTGGAAAGGCCCCTGGGGCCCCTTTGAGTTGGGTGGCAGAGATGCTCACAGGTCTTCAAACCCTGCTTCTGCTCCCCACACTCACTGGAACCCACAGCCCTGAGGGCCTCCCCTCCCTTGGCTGCCTCCCTTCCATCCTTCCCAGCGCCCTCACGACCATGCTTCGACGTCCCCAGACCCCAGCCATCCGTCAGAGTCCACAGGCCTTGGGCCTCCTGCCTTATGACGGTGGTGGCCATGCTTCCCCAAAGCTCACTCAGAACCACTTCCAGGGTGGCAGTGAGCAAGAGCGTAAGTGGGCCACTGTCCTTGGAATAATCCAGGACAGGACTACCAACAGCCCATGTCACCTTAGGCCGCAGTCGGCTGGGGTCAAAGCAATGCGGAGGGAACAAGGGATTCTGGCTCAGCTTCAAGCCTGCCCTTTTTTGGACTCCGATGTGGTTCCTGAACACCTAGCCCCCTCGTTCTCTCTCTGGCAGACACTGTGGCCTGACCAACGCCCTCACCCCCATGTCTTCCTACGAACTGGCCCCCAACTTGGTTCACCCTGCTCCTCAGGGAAGACCGGGACCGCCAAGCCCACGGGCGTGAATTCTAATCGGTCCACAGCCATCGTGCTGGCTCGTTTTCCCTGCCAAATGACTGGTCAGGCATGGGCAGGTGAAGCAGTTCTGGCCAATGAAATGTGAGGCTCCGGAGAAGGATTTTCTTCATCTTTAAAAGGAGACAAAAGCTACAGAAGTTGTGTCATTGCCGGAGTCTGAGGCCTGGCCCTACGGAGCCCGTCTTGAGAGCCCAGGGGAGCAGCCAGGAGGACAGACAGGGGCGGGGGGCGGGGACAGAGGAGACAAGCAACCAGCCTGTGTCTTGGGGCATGCAGCGGCTGCTTGAACTGGGTTTCTATTATTTGCATGGCAAGCCCCTCACGGACTCCCCGCTGTGCTGCTGCGGCTTCTGCTCTCCTTTGCTCTGTCCCTGCCCACCCCTGGCCTGTGAGGCCCTGTTGGCTCTAGGCATCCTTGCAGGACCTGCTGCTAAAGCCCCCACCACTGGCTGGTTTTGCCGCCCCTCTCTTGTTCGACTCCAACAGAGGGGAAGCAGCCATGGCAAAGGTCCACAGAGCAGCGTCACCAGGTGTATACACTGGTTATGAAATGGTTAAGCCTGGGCCACTGGTGGGTGGGGGGAGGGGAGGGGAATTAAGTGGAGTTGATGGCTCCCTGCACAATGGGGAGACCTTTCTAGTTGTCACTGGACTGGAAAGTTGTTCTCTTCCTGCCATAAGTCAGGGTGGTCCACACAGCCCTCCTATGGCTGGATGTGGTGCAGAGACAAAGCAGAGAGGAGCCCCCGCGGGTCGCCGGAAGCCACAGCAGGGCCTGTGGGAGAGACACTCTTCCCCACACTCGCTAAGATGGGTTAGCAAGAGCAGCCCAGAGCCTCAGAAGTACGGTGAGGGGCTCTGCAGGTGATGGGGTCTAGATGGGAAGAAACGTAGCCCAGGAGGCTGTCTGCTCTGCACTCAGTGTGACCAGCCAGGAGCAGGATGCTGAGGACGAAGAGAACTCCAGAGGCTTCGACTGGAGGGGGCCTCCCCTCGGGCTCCTTTGCCGGGCCACGGTGGTTCTTTCTGTGGCAGGGTTTGGACTTAGGACCAAAACTGCCCTCCTGGTAACTTGGAATGGTGTAACTACTAGTGTGCACATGTGCTCAGCTGTGCAGTATCATTTACAACGTGGGCCAGTCACTCTCCTGGAATCGTAGTCACCGAGTCCCCAGGCAAGGCTCATCAGCTATCCTTGACCACCCCCTTCCCTCTCTCCGCCTTCCGGCCAGTCACCAGCTCCCCTGGAGTCTGCCTAGGAAAACACACCACACAAAGATGTGCACACGCATGCACACTTAAACACAAACCCATGTACACGTATAAAGACACATAGATACATGCACACAAGTACACACATACATACACGTTTACATATACACACTGATAACACGTATACGAACACACACAAATATAGGTACACATCCGTGTTGAAACACACACATGCACATACAGACATAGATATACACACGTCCTCCCATAAGGCATATACACTAGAAACATGTGAAGTGCTGGTTAGAAATGAAGATTCCTCCACCTCACCCCACCAAGCCTGGAGGACTAGGCGGCTGAGTGAGGCATTCTGAACCCTTCTTTTTAATGCCCTAGAGCTGCTCCTGCACCACGCAGCGAGCACGGCTTACAAACAGGCCTCTGGACAGCCTGGCATTTTCACAGTCTCCATTCCGAACCACCAGCCTTGACTCACCTTCCCGGTTTCTAAATTCCTATTCGTTTTCCCTCAACAGCTTTGTTCTACTGGAAACTGACCCTCGGCCTCACGTCTCTGGAAGTTCTGATCTTCCCTCATTCCCCCAGTTCAGACTGCAGCTCTGGCTCCAGAAGCATCGAGGTCCTGGAGAGGCACGAACTCGGAAGTGTGTGACCCCGATGTACTTACCTCACTCCCCCACGCAGGGTTTTCATCCCTTGGGAAACGTGCCAGGGTCGGTTGGCTGAGAAAAGGGATCCAGTGAACTGAAAGAGCGGTGCCGAGTCTCACCATCCCAGCCCGGGCCCCTCTCCTGGCCTGATACACAGGCTGTCATTCGCCGGGAAGCCTCTCTGGGCGTGTGAATCAGCTGGAGTCCTCAAAGTTTAGGCACCTCTCCCTCCCAGTCCTGAGGCAGAGGTTCCCACTCTTGCGTGTGCAGGATATCCCCTGGTGGCTCTGCAGGGCCCTGGCCGCGCAGGCAACAGATGGAATCTCGGCAGCTGGAGACTCAGGCGTGTGAGACGGGAACCCGGCCAGGCCCTGTGGGATCATCCCTCTTGGTGCACAGGACACCCAGCGACGGTCATCAGTGCACCAGTGTCAACTGGATCCCCAGGGGGTGGGAGCACATGGTACTGACCAGCGAGGGCCTCTCAGAGGCCAAGGCCACCTCCTTTCTCTGAGGCTCCCAGTCAGTTTTTTTAAAAATCAAGAAATATCAAAATAGGATTTCTAAAACTGTGGCATATTCTACACGTTCTTTTTATTAAGTTAGTACTTCTGATGCGTACCCATGCAAGTGATGAAATATTTTATTTCTCTGCCCAAAAGACTAAAAAGATTGATGTAGTTTCAAGTGATGCAAAATGTCAGAACCTTGCAGCAAAATCACATTAATTTTGCATTTTCGGTAAGACAATATTATCCTGATTACAGTTTAATGACAACCGTGTGTCACTGTGCTTTAGTTTCCTGTGGCTGCTGTAACAAGCCACCGCAGGTGTGGTGCCTTCAAACAGCTGAAATGTATTCTCTCTCACTCTGGAGGCCGCAAGTCTGAAATCAGTTTTCGCTGGGTGAGGCTCCAGGGGCGAGTCCCTTCCTGCCTTGTCCGGCGTATGTCAGCTTCTAGCTCCCTGGCTGCATCACGCCAGTCTCCGCCTCTGTGGCCGCGTGGCCTTCTCCTCTTCTGCGGTAATGTCCCCCGCTGCCTCCCTCTCATAGGAGTCCTTGTGGTGGCATTTAGGGCCCACCCAGATAATCCAGAATAATCCCCCCATCTCAAAATCCTTAGCTTAATCACATTTGGGGCCAGATAAGGTAACATTTACAGGTTTCAAGGGATTAGAGCCTGATTTCTTTGGGAACCGTTATTCAACTCACCACATACTGGTAATCTACAGATTTAAATCTTTTAAAAATATTTACACCAGAACAGTGCTATGCACAGATAACGACAGGATTAGTAAACATTATTAACTCACACAGGTGCTGTGATCCAGGGGCAGAGCATCAATTCAAGGCTGTGAGAGAACACTCCTGTCCAGCCAGTGCCTCTCTGCTTCTGCGTGGACAAGCTTGCTTAGAGGGACATCCAAAAGCTCTGTGGGAGGCCTTCCGGAAACATGAGGGCTCAGTCAAATGACACTCCAGTATCCCCACCCCCCGATCACCCCGAGATGGGCCCGTGGCCTGTGTTCTGTGGGTGCCTCACCTTCCCCAGGCAGGGGATCCATGTGGGGACCTACTCACCCCCTCACTGGAGTCTCGGTGCTTCAAGCCCCGACATGTTTGTCTGAAGTCAGCCTATGTTATTCTTGCTATTCTTATCGTGCTGAAATACACATAACATCACTTTTACCATTTTAACCATTGAAAGATTTACAAATCAGTGGCATCAAGTACATTCACAATGTTGTGCAACCAGCATCATTACCTAGTTCTAGCCACTCCCCGCACCTCCCTCCCCCAGGCCCTGGCAACCACTAGTCTGCTGTCTCTCTCTACACATTGGCCTACTCTGGATATTTCCTATAAAAGGAATCATACGATGTTGGCCTTTTGTGTCTGGCTTCTTTCATAGCACAATGTTTTCAAGGTTCATCCATGTTGTAGCACGTATCAGTACCTCATTCCTGTTTATGCCTGGACGGTATTCTGTTGTGCATATGTAGGACATTTTGTTTATCCTCTCATCAGTTGGTGGACATGTAGGTTATTTTCTACTTGTGGCTGTTCCCAACTGGAACCTCAGAGCCCCCCTAGACCCTGCATCTGTCACTCCTGAATGGGGCAGCAGCGCTGCCTGTCGGTTCAGGAACTTCTGTGCCAAATCGAACAGGGCTTGACCTTAATCCGACGTGGAGAGAGAATGTGGCCCTGGCAAACCAGGTTCCTTGGTGAACGGCACAACCACCTGTTGGTCTGCCTTCTCTCGGGGACTGCCTCTTCCCTTCCTCCAACCCTGTGGTCCTAGTGGGACTGCCTTGCCATCCTAGAGTCCTAACTGTTACAGGGCGCCGCCACTCTTGGTGTTTCCCATGAGTGGAGGAGCCAAGTCTGCAGGGGGAGAGAACAAACCACAGGGGGAGAGAGAAGTAGAGCTGAGAGAAGAGAGTCCCACTGGGCTGCGGGTCCTGGAAGCCGCTGTGTGGGATTTCCTACAGTTTGTTGGTTGATTCCAGTAAATTCCTCTTTCTGCCTAAACTATGTCATATTGGATTTCAACCCAAAGAATCCTGACTGTGGCATCATCAGCCCTCTGCCACCACAAGGCCTGGTGTTCTCTGAAGTGGAGAAAACGGGGAGCTCCACCTCCGCCCAGACTACCACCGCCTCGATGGAGTGACTCTGTGGGATCCTAGGTGTTTTCATTGAACTTTGAACTGTCAGGATGATCTTCATAAAACAGGGCCTCAGGGGCATGCACAGCCCGGAGGTCAAGAATGCAAGAAAGTTTCCCAGTTACTTTTTGGATAGCTTGCTACCTGGTCATCAACCCTCAGCTATGGGATGCCCCCACCATCCCCCATGTCATTTAATGGGTGACAAATGGGATCCTGCAAGGGGTCACCATCCACCTGGAGGACATCTTTGTGTACTGCCCAATGTCACCTTGAAGGAGTCACTGGCCGGGCAGCACGGCCTCTGAGCCAGCCTATGCCAAGGCCTGTGTTTCCCAGTGCAGACCTCCCGGGCCCTGGCATGTCTAACCAGGGCTCCTCCGGCGTGGAACTGGGCTCTGACACTTCCAAGGTGGATTCCCCACCAGGTGCCACCATCTACATCTGATCTGCTACCTTCTCCACCACCTCCTCGTAACAAATTGTGAAATCAGAAAGTACACGTCTTCCCTTTGGAGGTAAGAAATGCAGAATGACAATTATAGAAATCTCTTTTGTTCAGTCTTCTTTAAAACGGAACAATTTCCTTGGCCCCAAAAAAGAAGTATTGTGGTTATTAAAATAGTGTGGTTACTTCACGCTAATGAGAAAAGCTGAAGAATATTAATGAACTCATGGACTCCACAGAGCCCTGATTATCTGACTCATCAGGCAAACGTCCCAAGTACAATTAAATTAGATTCTTCTCTGGCCTTTGTCATTAGAGATTTTCTCTGAGTGTCGTCCAGCCACTCCATATAAAAAGATGAAATTTTCTTGTCATTTTTTTCCAAACAGTCTGTCTTTCCCATGTAAAAGATAAGCCTTAATATCTCTGTGCCTCAGTTTCCTCATCTGTAAAATGGGATGATAATACTTACTCCATAGGAATATTTTGAGGATTTAAGAATTATCAATCACTTAAGAACTGTGCCTGGAACTTAGAAGCAATAAAATATATTTTGTCATTATCATCACCATCACCAGCATTATAAATATTAAGCTTGTAAAACACATCTTAGACAACTGAGTGAAATCATAAAACACGGGTGGTACAGGATGCAATGATGGTTCAGGAATTACGTCTATCGCCGATCACTTCAGGCGTAAACAAGCTCAGCAAACTCGCTAGATTCCTGCCCTTCTTTGTTTTTTCCATCTAACCCAGATTCCTTTGTTTCACATACTAAGAAAGACCCAGCAGAGAAGTAATTCAGGCTGCTATTCTTCTCTGCAGATACCGTTTTAGAATAAAGGTGCTTCTGGCTGTTTCTGAATTTTAATGAAAGCAAAGCTTTATTTCTTCCACTCAGACTCTGCCCCAGGCTACAGCCCTTCTCCTGGCTCTGGTGATTGCCAAGCCAGACCCATCAGAACCTCCCTGAGGCTTCTCTGCCAAGGCTGTCACCTCTAGGTGATGGGGCTGGAGGACACAGCCTGGAGCTGCTGAAGGCATGGAAGCGGGGGCGTCGCCTCCCTGACTCCAGCTTCCGAGGTCTTCAGAGACACCCCCGTTGCTGCCACTCTCTGGGGCTTTCCTCAGTGTCTTTCCAATAGAGCCCCCTTGTTTTGTTTTAACTGATTTGAGTGGCCCTTGTGTCAAAGATACCCAACATTTCTAGGCTTCCCCAGAGACGAGAGAGCCTTCATAATCATTTTCGAGCCCCTGCCACCGCAGCAGCCAGCCTCCTCAAGAAGGAGGGATGTCCAGCCTTAAGTGGCAGCCACAGGCCGCCAGCAGCTGAGAAACCCATTCCTGTCTGCCCTCCTTGGTGTTCTCTGAGCCAGCCTCGCCTAGGGTGGTGTCTTTTGTGCATTGGCAGGGACGTAAGATCACAACAGGCTTCAAACACAGGGGTACCACCTCTTTGGAGAAAGGTGGTCCTAGCTGAGGTCAACATCCCAGGTAGGAGCAAGTAGGCCAGCTTCAAGGGTGGACAAAGCACTTTACAGGGACCTAGCTCCCCAAGATGGGACATCAGGCCACCACAGCCTGGTCATCTGAGGAAAGTGACTTGGTTTGTGCCTAGCGAAATGGGCACTGTTCTCCAAGAAGTTCAGGTTCCACGTCTGATACAGGCCGGGAGCTGAAACTGCTGAACAGGTGTCAGACTAACTGGAGACGGCAGCTGAGAGATCCTGTGGCCTGCAAGCTTTGTGGTTCTCTGTATTATCAGGGTAAGTTAATGCTGCAACAAGTCCAAGAATAATAATGGCATAAACACAGTTGAGTTTATTTCTCACTCATATTGACAGTCCCCGGCAGGTCCAGTTCTGGCAGGTGGGGGTGGAGCTCTTGGCCACACAGTTCTTCAAATGCAGACTCTGTCATCTTCAACACATGGCTTCTGAGACCTCCTTGGTGTTGACATCCAGTAACGAAAGGGGAGAGGGCACAAAGGACCAGGAAAGTGAGCGAGCCTTTTATGGTTACAGCAGGCCTAGAAAAATGGTCACATCTCGTGGGCTGAGACTCATGGCCACATCTAACTGCAAGGGAAGCTGACAATGCAGTCTAGCTACGTGCCCAGAATAAAGAGGACACCAGTTTGGAGAGCAGCTAGCAATCCTTGTCACACCGTCCAACTGTGGCGGTCACGGATGTGAGGGTCACCTGTGTGCAGTGTCCATGCTTCTGAATTCCAGAGCCAGCCTGGCAGCCTACACGGCGGTGGCTCTGGGAGCACCAGACTATAATTTCCACAGGTTGTACCACCACCATCCCAGCCTTCAGGGAAGGCTGCCTCCTCAGTGCTTACTCATCAGAGGGCAATTCTGAATCGCCCTCCCCAATTCTGGATGCTCCAATCTTCACATAGCTCCAGGTCTACCACTTGGGACCCTTGACCCTGACCGAGGACTGACAGCCCCTGTAGGGTAGCGTGGCCAAAGATTTTCAGATAAGCCCCCCACCCACACTCCACTGCCTCCATGGATATCCCAGGACCCTGACAGCCGTGGCCCCTCATGAAGATGGCACCTTCCACCAACTCTGCCAACTCCGGCCACTGCCACTCGCTCGGCAGAAGCTTTCTCTCCATGAATGATCCAGCCACCTGAAGTCCCAGTTCCTATGCCGATAGGACAAGCATTGTCACCCAACAACCACTCACTACCCAACAACCAGTGACCAAAGAGAGCTTCTCAGCACATCCTTTAGGAGTCGGGGCAACAGTGGGATGCAGCTTGGGCTACAGGCAGTCCTGACTTCAAACCCCTTCTCTGCCACTCACTAGCAGGGTTTCTTTGCTCAAGTCGCTCACCTCTGCGAACCTCAGCAAAATGGGAGGAGTAATATCCCAGGGGGGATTCGGAGAGACCCGTGAGATCGGGCACACAAAGCTGGAGCACAGTGCTGGGCACGCAGTGGGCCATCAGTGGTGGTGGCCGTTATACCAGGGGACTCTTTGCTGCTACAGTATGGCACCTTAGAACGTGGAGGCAACTGTCCACGCGGGCCTCTGCCCAGAGCGAACAGTCGCCAAGCAGCCGCGGCTCCTGCCCAGCCAGAGACACGGCTGAGGGCCCTACCCGCAGCCCTCCTCCCCCTCTCCCTTCCCCTTCTGCACTGCACTCCTAAAGACACGGGCTCAGGCTTCTCCCTTCTCGCTGCATCTCCCCAGATGAACACACCCCCTCCCAAGGGGTAGATGGCCACCGACATGCCCTGACTCCCACATCATTCCCAGTGCCCAGCAGCCTGCCTGCTGCAGCCGGGATGGTTGAATTCATGGACTGAACCAAGGCTTTATGCTGCTTAAGACCCATCAAGGCCCTGCCATTGCTTAGAGGATTCAACACAGACTCCTGGGCCCAAGACTCTGTGCCATCAGGCCCTGCCTGCCTCCTCCGCCCTGTCCTCAGCCCTGCCCCTCACCTTGGCTCTTCCAGCCCTGCCGAGTGATTGGCATCCTTGAAGGGCCCCAGATTTCCCAGGTCTCCATTCTTCTAACTTGCAGAAGAACCCCACTCACCCCTCAATGTCATCCCAGATGACAGCTCCCTGCCTCTCCTCCCACGGGCCCTCCCTCCTGTGAATGTTTTTATCCAGAGCATTTCTCCTTGTTGTCACTTTGCTTTTGTCCCCATCCAGACTGCATCTGGTATATGATAATGGTGGTGAATTAATTATCAAGCCTAACTGGGCCCTGAGGTGGCCCTGAGGAGACCCAGTGCCTGTCTTAGGTCCTCCTGCTAGAACCCGCCTGGAGCTGAAGGGGCTGCACCCTCCTTCCCCACCCTGCTCCCCCGCAGCCTCCCCAGGGCAAGCCAGACTGGCTAGGGACTGTTGGTCAGGAAGCTCAGGCCACAAACCATGGCTCCCTCCTTACCTTCTTCTCTCAAAAGCAGAGCACCAGAGCCACCTCCTTCCGCACGTTCCTGGGATGGAATTCAGCAGCCCCTGCCACCAAGACATCCTTGCTGAGGTTGGGGGAAATTACAGGCTGGTGAGCAGCAAGCACAGCACTCTAAGCTGCATGCTGTACATTACCAGCACATTCTCACTCACAACATCGTCCTGGAGGGGAGTCATGCCCAGTCCTGGGCTGTGAAAGCACCCACAGTTCCCTGCTTGGCCAGGTCTGCAGTTGCCGGGGGCTCTGGGGAGGACGCCACAGTCCAGAGGGTGTTCAGGGTGGGTGTTGTTAGGGAAAAGCAAATTCGCTCACAGCATGTATGGGGTGAACTGTGTTCCCCAAAAAGATACATTGGAGTCCTGACTCTTCGTACTTCGGAATGCATGCATTGCTCTGAGGAGAGCGTCCTTAGCTTTTGTCTGATTCTGAGGGGTCCATTACACCAGAATTCAAGACCTCTGGGTCAATCCCCTTGCTCAGAGCGCCGGGCACACTGCCCGCTTTGGGCTGAGCATCTTTCCTGGGTTTCCACTCACCTTACGTCTTGCTCTGAGTTGCATTACCGTGTGGTACTGTGGTGGCCCGTCTTCCATGCCCTTGGAGAAGAGGGACTCACTCGGGTGCATCCTTGTACCTCCTGCCTGACCCAGGGTCGTTTGTGAAATAGGGTCCTAGCATTCCTTCTCTACCCACCCCTCTACCCTCACTCTCCTCCTAACTCCTTCTCAGCCCCCTTTGCTGCCAACTCCCCTTCACCCACCTTTTAAGCGTTGGTGTTCCCCGGGTCCCACCTGGGTCTCTTTCCGCCTCACGCCACCCCTCTCCCAGCTCTGGTCCCTCTGCTCCCACAGCTTCTATTCCACTTTAGTGAAGGTGACACCAGCTGCTCTGATATGCAAACCCAAGGTTTCAGTGGCTTAATGTAATAGTGTCTTTCTTCATATAAAATCCAACTGGTGTTCCACAAAGTCCTCAAGGGATGAGCCCCTGCCATCTGTAACTGGCTTCCACAATGGCCTGGGGCATCTGCATCCAGCCAGCAGCCTGACGGCGTGAGAACATGGAGACTCGTGAGGGAGGTGTTACAGGTTTTTGTGGTAGACACTACATCACTTTCACTCACCCTCCATTGGCCAGAACTCCGCCTGTCTTAGTCCATTCGGGCAGCTGTAAGGGAATGCTATAGACTGAGTGGCTTATAAACAGCAGACATTTATTTCTCACAGTTCTGGAGTCTGGCAAGTCCAAGATCAAGGCACCGGCAGATTCAGTGTCTGGTGAGAGCCCACTTCCTGGTTCACAGACAGCTCTTCTCACTGTGTCCTCACATGACGGAAGGAGCGAGGGAGCTCTCTGGGGTCCCTTTTACAAGGGCACTAATCCCACTCACGAGGACTCCACCCTCATGACCTAGCCACCTCCCTAAGGTCCCACCTCCTGATACCATCCCATTGGGGGCTAGGATCTTCACATACGAATTTTGAAGGGACACTAACATTCAGTCCATAACACCACCTGTGGCCACATCCAACTGCAAGGCAGGCAGGAGACATGGTCTAATGGTACACCCGGCAGCAGATGGGTCAGGGCGGGTAAGCAGCTGACTAGTCCCTGACACAGGCTGTCCATCTGGTCACTGGAGAGCCATTTCACTCTTCCCCTCACACATGGCACGCACTCATCGCTCCCCAAAGAGACAGCCAAGTCCTGTGCCCTCACTGTCTCCTGAGACCTCCGCCACAGGCTGGGGACCTCCAGGAGAGGCACGGTTCTCTCTCCAGGTCCCATGTGGTTCCTTGTGATCTGGAAACCAATGCACTGTAAGAACAAGTTATCTGTGTCCTTCCCTCCCCCTGCCCCCACCACACACACACACACACACACACACTCGCTATTCAGTGTTAGGACTCAGACAGCATAACCACAATACCATATCCCAATCAGAAGAAGAACGGAAGATGCAAAGCAGACTCTGACCCCAGCAATTGTGAAATCTTGCTGGGCAGCTGGGAAAGCCCCTGCCGGGGGTTCTGCTCTTGGGGGAATGCCCCGTCCTGTCCTCTGTGGCTGCCGGCTCAGGGGTTCCTCTCGCCATTTTGATCCAAGGCCTCATTTGAAGCAGATATTGGGCATACACCCTCCTCGGGCGCTGCTAATCTTTTGCTGTCTACAGCTCCCGCTGGTAGAAGTTTTGAGGCCTGAAGTGGTTTTAAGGCCCAAAGGGTCAAAGCCTTTTTTTTTTTAGTTCAGGCTTCTGGCTTTATCTGACAACACAGTTCCCTCAAAACCTAAAAAGGCTCCTCATCTCTTTCCTTCCAGTCAGTTTCAGGTGCCAGTGACCACATGCAAAATTCATTTTGAGACATAGTTCTCCAGACTGATTGTTTTGCTTGCAGCCCTCAGGCCGTTCTCTCTCTCCCTGTACTGATGGGGATCTTGAGGCGGGATCCTGAGGCTGGGCCCGGGAGCGGAACGCTGGCTCACTCTGACCTGGCACAAGGCTCAGGCCTACTGGCCTCTGCCGCTTGAAAGGCTTGTTAAATGTGATTTCCCTCTGTTTGGCGTCTAGAAGCAGTCAATTTTCCCAACCAGAGCCCCAAACTTCTGGAATCTTTCTATTTCATTTTAGTTTTGCTTGCAAATCAGCCAATTCTTGTCTGGACTCATCATATTCTTCTAATACTTTGCTAACTGCTGCCTGTAACAACCGAGGCTCGTTATGACAATCTGTTTTACAACCTCTTCCCGAGGAGTGACAGGCTCAGAGGACAGCTGGCCTGCTGGTCTCAGGCAACTGTTCTACTAAATGTGTCACCCTTACAGAGCACGGGCCTCCATATTTCCAGACCTCGACAATGGTTTCCTCCTCACCTGCCCCCCAGCTACGAACCAATGCCAAACATTGTCGATTTTCATTATGGTAACACCCCACTCCTAGGACCAATTTCTGTCTTAGTTAAAGGAATACTAACCTGTATAAGAGATAAACCTGCAAATTTCATTTGCTAAACACACTAAAAGTTTATTTTTTACTTCCTGTGAGGGATTAGGGATCTCTGCTCCTCACAGTCCTGCATGAGTCAGACAGATTGAGGCTTAGCCTTTTTCAATACATGGTGTCAGAGCCGGCCCGTGGTGCAGCGGTTAAGTGCGCACGTTCCGCTTTGGTGGCCCGGGGTTCGCCGGTTCGGATCCCGGGTGCGGACACGGCAATGCTTGGCACGCCATGCTGTGGCAGGCATCCCACATATAAAGTAGAGGAAGATGGGCATGGATGTGTGCTCAGGGCCAGTCTTCCTCAGCAAAAAGAGGAGGAGTGGCAGCAGTCAGCTCAGGGCTAATCTTCCTCAAAAAAACAAAAACAAAAACAGAATCAATACATGGCTTCTCAGAACCTGAAACCTGGACATCAGAAACCAGCCATCAAGTAGAAAAGAGCAGAGCAGATCAGGGTTTGGCCTGTTTCATAGACAAAGGTTTCTTGGGACACATCAGACCCGTTTGTTTACATATTGCTATGGCTGTCCTCATGCGACAATGGAAGAGTAGGTTAGTTGCAGGAGAGAGTATATGACTCACAAAGCCCAAACGAGTGACTATCTGGCCCTTTACATAAAAAGTCTGCCAACCCTGCTGTGGGGGATCAAGGGCTGAGGGTAGATGGGCCAGGCCTGGAAGTGCCATCACATTCCATCGGCCAGAACTCAGCCACGTGGCCCCACCACTGTAAGGGAGGCTGGGAAGTGTGTCCTCAGTGTGTCCCCGGAAGGCAAGGAAACAGGCAGAGCTGTCATTTGGCCAGTCTCTGCCACAAACACCCTGCAGGCCCTGGTGGCTTCTGACTCAGCGTTCTCTCCTAAACTCCAGATCCATATTTATAGCAACGTGCCAGACTTCTTCCACTTCACGTCCTCAAACAGAACTTGATCCCTTTTCCTCCAAATCTTTTCTCCTTCTGTGGTTTGTAATTCAGCTCACAGTTCATCATTCACTCAGCCGCCCCCACTAGAAACTCCAGGATTTGCCCATGACCTTCCTCATCCTCAGCCTTGAGACCCACGCTCTCCACGGGCCTTTGAACTTATGTTTCCCAAATCTTCCCGCGACTTCTCTGTACCCTGCCGCGGCTCTGGTATTAGCCTCCTAACCTGTTGCCATGACTTCCAACCACCCCCAAAGCTTGCATGCAATTGTCTGAGGCAGCTTCTTCAAAATCTAGTCGGCCTAAACCGCTCCCCTGGATGAATTTCTTGCTGTCCCCAAGGACATAGACACATCACCTGAGGTTACCCATCTGCAATGACACAACTGAGATGGGAACTTTAGTTTATGAGCCTTCAAAGACCCATTGCTCCACTCCCCCATTCTTTGCAGGATAAAGCTCAAGGAAGCACAAAGAAAATTCTTTGCATAGCAGAAACTCTTGAACCAGGACAAAGTAAGCAGCTTCCTTTCCACACACTCCGAGAAGAATTTGCCGTGGGCCGAGCGGCTTCACTCTGTGGGAACATGGCCATGCTCCTCTCCTGGCTTCCCTGGCCCCTTACCTCTCCACTTCCACCTGTTCTGTCCAAGATTCCTCATGCCCAGAGCTTGATAACCAGGACAGCCTCACAGAGGCAGCCCGCCTCAGGAGCCCGCCTCTAGGACAAAGCCCTTCCCGAGACCCTTCAGGGTCACTGGAGGTCCACTCCTCTTCCCAACCCTCCTCATGACACAGCAGCCACTTTGGGGGACAAAAAGAAGCCAAACTGGACCAGGGTCCTCCTGGGAGTCTGGGTTTGGTCCTTGGGGCTGCCTGGGTGACCATCCTGCCCAACTGTGAGTCCTCTGGTCACTCTGCATCACCCTCCAGTGTTTCCTTGTAACACCCATCCTTCTGTGACATAGTCTTATTTTTATATGTGTTTGCTTACTCATTGTCTATCTCCCCCACGGGAAAGTAAGGTACCAAGTTAGAGTGGCAACATTGTTTCTCTTCTCTGCTGTTTCCCCAGAATGTGGAAAAGTGTCTGACTTATCCTTCGTGCTCAATAAATTTTTGCGGAATGAATGAACTGACTAGTGACCCTCTGATGGCCTCTTGCTTCCCCCACTCAGTGGACGGTGGGGCTCCCCAAGCCCCCATGCCTCCCTCAGACGCCAGTCACTCTGTCCAGGTCCCAAAGACTCTCTCCTCCCAGAGGACTTTTTATGTCTAAAACTGAGCCCCTACCCTAGCCAGCACTCCCATCTAAGCAAATAGCAACTCCAATGACCCACTTGTTCAGACCAAAGTGCCAGCCCGCCCAGACTCCCGCCTCGCTTCCCTCCAGTGCTTTGGCAGATCCTGTTGGGTTCACTTCCAGCTATATCCTGACTCCGACCACCTGCCATGGCCCCCATCACTGCCACTGACTCTCTCCTTGACTGCAACAAGCTCCTAATGGGGTCCCCCGCTCCCCGGGGGGCCTTCTGAAACTATGACTCGGATTGCCTCACTCTCTGCTCACCATCCTCCAAAAGCTCCCTTCACACGCGGAGTAGAATCAGAGTCGTCACCAGACCCACAAAGCCCCACGTGGCTGGCCCTGCTTATCTCCATCACCTCACTGCCTTCCTGTCTCTGCTTCACACACTCTGTTCCAGCCACCGGCTGCTCACTGTTCCTCAAGCACACCAAGCAGATCCGGCCCCAGAGCTCAGTACCTGCCGTTGCCCTGACCTGGAGCCTTCCTCCCACGTATCCACATGACTCCCTCTCGCTTCTTCAGGTCTCGGCTCAAACATTTCATCAGAAGGACTTCCCTGACCACTCGATGGAGGACAGAGTCCTTACCTGCTTCCCGTTTCTTCGTGGCACTTTCCGGACTTCCCAGTGCCCTTCACGGCCCTTTGTTTCTCTGTTTATTGGGTGTCATTGCCTCAAAAGTGTAAGCTCCCATGGGGCTGGCCCCATGGCGGAGTGGTTAAGTCGCACACTCTGCTGCAGGCGGCCCAGTGTTTCGTTGGTTCGAATCCTGGGCGTGGACATGGCACTGCTCATCAAACCGCGCTGAGGCAGCATCCCACGTGCCACAACTAGAAGGACCCACAACGAAGAATATACAACTATGTACTGGGGGGCTTTGAGGAGAAAAAGGAAAAAAATAAAATCTTTTAAAAAGAAAAAATGTAAGCTCCCAAAGGGCAGGGACTTTGTCACTTTATGTGCTGCTGTGTCCCCATGTCTAGAACAGGGTCTGCCATGTTGCAAATGCTCAATAAATATTGGTCGGACGAAGATAGAATGACGACTGCAGGAGTGACCCTTGAAGGAAGCAGGGCCCTGGGCCAGGGAGGGGTGGGATGGAGCTCAGGTCCAGGGGTCTCGGTCAGCGCACAGGGCCCCAGTCCTCACCCCTCCCTGCCTCCTCAGCCTGTGCCATCCAGGGTCGTCGTGCCCACCTCCTGGGACTCTGGGCTCAGCCAGCCACTCACTTTAGCCGGGAGGATGTTAGCAGAGGAGACACAGCAGAGGGCGGTGCCTTTCCGCCTGCTCCGGCCCTCTGCTTCACTATGAGAACATGCCTGGGCAAGCCTGCTGGATGATGGGAGACCCAGGATATGTGGGGGAGAACACTCTGGACCGAGGGAACAGCAAGGCCCAAAGGCAGGAGCTTGCCTGGAGGGCTTGAGAGAGAGCAAAAGGCCAGCATGGTGGCAGCCCAGTGAGGGAGGGGACAGTTGCAAGGAGGCCATAGGCGTCAGACCACAGAGGGCTTCATAGACCGTGGTAAGACGTGGGCTTGCACTCAGTGAGATGAGAAGCAGAGGCGGGCCGTGGTCTGACCACGCATGGAAAAGATGGCCTTGGTGCTGGTGGGAACAGAGACAGCACCTGGGCAGAGGCAGGGGCTCCGGGGGCCAGGGAATGTTGAGGTGATGAAACCAGGTGACCACCAGCCAACTGGCCTTGAGGTTCCCAGCCAGAGACTCCCAGCTCTCACCCTTCCAGGTGCACAGCCTTTTCCAGCCGCACAGTTCCCCTCAAAAACATTCAATTCCTTCCTGCCTCAGGCCCCTGGCACTGGCCGCTCCCTCCTTCTCCTTGTTCTCTGTCTGGCTAAGGCCTTGTCGTCAGGGTCATGACTTGAAAGCACTTCACAGAGCCCTTCTTCGCGACCCCATGCCCCACCCTCTAGCTCAGCTTCTCTGTTCGTCTCTCCTCCGCCCTAGCTTCCCCTGCAGAGCTCACTGGAATAACATCCACAATCCTGTGTTTACAGGTTCCTGTCTGTCTCAATGGGTTACAGAGAGCCAGGCCCCTTTCTAGCCAAGCTCCAGAGACAGGTGCCTGGGTTCAAGTCCCTGTTCATTTAGATCCGTATGAATTTGGGAAGGCTACTAAACCACCAGCCTCACTTTCCTCCTTGGAAAAATGGCAGTAACTTCAAGGACAAGACCCACTGAGATGCTGGAATTAAAGCACCGAGCTCAGAGCCTCACACTGTTCCACAAGGGTTAGCTATTACACCAGCCATGGAAAGAAGACCAGTGTAAGGATCCTCTGGAAGCACTTGGTCTGTTTACGTGACTGCACCGTGTTTGGCAAGCTCTCCGAGTGGCATAAACAAGCTGCACTCCAGGTGTCAGACTGCCCAGATGAGGCAGGTTTGAAACTGCCTCTTGGCAAATGCACATTCTGGGAAATAAGGAAGATGTATGGCATTTGTTGTTTCTGGTTGCTTAGCATCCAAACACCCATGGTGGGGGGTCGAATCCCTGCAGGGGCAGGAGGCAGGGCTCCCCTATGGAAACCCAGTGGGGCCAGACTCTCTCTCCCAGAGGCCCGCAGAGAGAGCTTGGGCACTCAGCTTGGGCTCATCCTCCCTACGACTGTAACAGTGACTGAGGGTCACACACAAGCTGGGACCATTGAGACGTCACTCCTCCGGTGTCAGGGGCCCAGTAGCCCGCACCAAGGGGCAGCCATGGCTGTGATGTCAGCAGGCCCATCCTCACGGGTCCCTGCCTGTGGTGCTGCCTTCCAGCCTTCTGGGTTGCTGCCCAGTTGGTACTCCTGGTTCTCCAGCCTACCCTGTGATTCTGTGGGCCACCCGTCATTCTTCCAGAAAATTCTTTTCAAGCTGTAGTTCACTAGGGTTGTTTTCTGTTGTTTGCAACCAGGAACTCTGACTCCTCTACCCTCCCAAAAGGGGCTGAGCACTAACCCTCAGGAAACCAAGCTGTCGCCCTCAGCTCCACCCCACACACCACCAGGAGCACAAAACTCCCCAGGGTGCTATGGCCGTGAGTCAGCCTGTACTCAGAGCACCCAGAAAACAGGGTGAAAAGGTGTGGCAGCCTGATATTTGCAAACACCAACCTCGCTTCTTTCCGAGTACGTCATACCACCCGCCCCAACGCAGAGGACAGCAAGGGCGGCTCCAGGGCAGGGCTGTTCCAGATGAAATGGAGAGAAGTTAAAGGAGCTAGGTCTCGAATATTGAGCTTCAAAGCTGAGGTCCTTGCCTCAGTAAAAATACTACCCATCCCAGAGCATTCTCTTCCCACCACTCCCTCCCATTCTCCAGGCCGGAGCAGGGGTGCCACAGAGCTCAGGGAGGAGAGGAGCCTACCTCCTGGGTGGGGGGCCTGGAGGTGCCACTCTCTCAGGACACCCTACATGTTTTTATAGGTAAGCAGATGTGGTGGTGTGGCTCGTCTGGACAGAGAGGGCCTGATGCTGCCCCCTCCCCCAGGTTCCACAGGAGTGGCTGAGACAGGGTTCTGGGGCCAGAAGAGGCTAGGGTCAGGATGATACAGTGACAAAGGAGGCTGGAGGGACCATGGGCCCTCTTGGTGAATGCGGGCAGGGGTGGATGCCGGCATGGACAGACACCAGCAAGTGACGGCCAGTGGAGCCAGGGGCCATCTTTACAGATGCCAGCAGAGAAAATGAGAATGACCAAGATCAGAAGCCCTCTCCCTACTGACAGCACTAGCTGGAACCCCAGGGAGAGGAGGCAAAAACAGAATTGACTGAGGAAACCCTGAATTCTTTAAGAAAACGTTTCTACATCATGCAACATGGGAAATTGAAACGGAAATTAGAGTCAGTTATGGAAAACAAAGATGTTCACATATCTGATTTTGTGTCCTGCAAAGTTTGTACCTGCTACAAAGTATCCCACCCCAAAGAAGCCCACCACGGTCTTTACCCAAGAGAACAAAGGGTAGGCAGGTCTGCTCGTGGCCTGGAGAGCTTTAGGGAGAGTTGTGGAGAGAGACATTAGTAGGAGTTTGAAGCCTTGGTAAAGTGGCTTGCTTTCATTAGGCACCGGCTGTGTACCAGGCACCATGCTAAACACTATATACTAATTTGGGAAATTATTCCCATTCTACAGATGAGGAAACTGAGGCACAGAGGCATTGAAAGGGAGTGCCAGGACACACTGGGCTGATCTCCCACAGGACGGCTTTAGTCGCAGTGGCTGCACAGATGAGTTCCTTGGATAACCGAGAATGCTGCTCTGGGGCTTTAAATCCGAAGGTGGTGTTGGGAGAGACGGACTACCGGGAGGGAGGAGGTTTATCACAGCGCAGGTTCTTGGAGGGAACTCAGGAAGGAGCAGGGCGGCCCCTGGTGGACATGAGGAGAATGGCAGCTCGAAGGCTCTGCCCGCTCCGCCAATGGCCTTGAATGAGAGGAGGGGGAAGGGGCGGGCGCGGCTCAGAGGCGGGGCTGGCAGAGGTCGCAGGTTGCGATGTGGGGTCTGGACTCAGGAGCTCAGCCCTGAGACTGCAGTGGCTACTCCAGGGGGGCCCGGTCTGCGGAGGGGCATTCTGTGAGGACAGAGAGGAGGAAGGCAATGGCCCTTCGTTGAGCGCTGACCATATGCTTAGAAGAGACACCTGAAAAGAATGGTATCCACTTTAAAAATGGGCAAAGATACACAAGCACAGGCAAACCAAAAGGAAAACGAGGTCATGAGCTGAAGATCAAAGCCGAGTTCAACTCAGAAAGAATTACATGGAACAAAGCAGATCTCTTTATAATGCTGAGGGGGACAAGACCCCAGAAGACAAAATGTGCACCAAATAACATAATATAAAAACCTGTACATCACGAAAGTGAAAAGACAACCCATAGAATGGGAGAAGATATTTACAAATCATGTATCTGATAAGAGACTTGTATCAAAACACGTCAAAAATCTCTTACAACTCAACAATAAAAAGACAACCCAATTTAAAAATGAGCAAAGGATTTTAATAAACATTTCTCCAAAGAAGATACACAAATGGCCAATAAGCACATGAAAAGATGCCCAATATCATTAGTCATTAGGGAAATTCAAAACCACGATGAGATACCACTTCACACCTACGAGGATGGCTAAAATTAAAAAACAGGTCCTAACAAGTATGGACAAGGCTGTGGATAAATCGGAACCCTTTGACCTTGTTAGTGGGATTGTAAAACGCTGCAGCCGCTCTGGAGAACAGTTTGACGATAACTCAGATGTTAAACATATAGTTATCCTATGACCTGGCAATTCCACTCCTATACACACTTAAGAGAAATTAAAAAAACATATGTCCACAAAGAAACTTGTACAAGAATGTTCATGGCAGCATTATTCATAACAGCCAAACCGTGCAAACGACCCAAATGTCCATCAACTGATGAATGGATAAATAAAATGCAGCAGACTCGTGCAATGGAATATTATTCAGCAATAAAAAGGAATGTAGTATAATACAGGCTACAACATGGATGAACCTTGAAAACATGCTAAGCGAAAGGAACCAGACACAAAAGGCCACGTATTGCATGACTCCATTGATAAGAAATGTCCAGAATAGGCAAATCCATAGAGACAGAAAGTATATTAGTGGTTGCCACAGGCTAGACCAGGGGGAACGAGAAGTGACTGCTGCTGGGTACGGGCTTTCTTTTCGTGGTGATGAAAATGTTCTGAAATAAGATAGTGGCGATTGAATATTGCACAACCTTGTGAATATACTAAAACCACGAAATTGTACACTTTAAAATT